CCCACCTAGCAGGCCACATCCCAGTCCCTGCAGGGCTCCCATGCCCTCCCCCCCAGATAACCAGAATTTTTAGGTTACCGGCATGCCCTAATCCCTGGGTGTGCTGGATAACACAGGTTTTACTGTATATAAGAAACAGTGGAAACTGACGCAAAACGTAGTTAAATAAACATCATGATCAAACTGAAGCAGAAATAAATTCCTGCCTTTCAGTTATAAGAGAATCAGTTATTACTTGTAACGATAGTACGTTAAAGGATTTGGCTAGAAGTGAGTTTTGGTTTTTTTTAAGTTGACTTTTATGTACAAGTTTTATACAAGGGAACTAAGTGTCATCTCTTTTCCAAAGAGATACTCAGGTTTGATGAGGGGTGGTTTATGAGTGTGTATCAGAGAGAGAATTTAATTCCACTAAAAGGGCCAGACTCCTAGACCAGAGCAGCAGTGCGCAACCCATGGGTCGTCTTAGGGTTGCAGCGCCAGGCCGGCCGCCATTTTGTTTTCCCGGCTTGGTGCCTGATGTACATTCGGCAGGAGCAAGGGGAATGGCAGGGGAGCAGACCAGCGCTTTAAATTAAAGGGGCCGCAACAAAATGTTCCCAGCGCCTCCCCTTCCCCCACCCCACCCCTTTTTTTTCCTCAACCAAAATTTTCCCTAGCCCTGGGGGTCGTGAATGAAAAAAGGTCGAGCACCACTGGTCTAGAGAATATTTTCCATCCACAGGTACAGTTGTTTAATCTCCTCTGCACTGCCCACTATATATATTTAGAGTCAAGTTAATTTTCCTTGCTCATTAGTACAGATTGTACCTCCAAAAGCCGGCATTCTCTGGTCTGCCAATATCCATCGTCCGGCAGGACCATGGATGCTCCTGAACTAGAGCGCTGGGAGCCTAAAGGCAGGAAGGTCAGCTAGGGCTGGGAATAGGGCCAGCAGATCAGCTGGGGGCAGTGCGAGACTGAGCCCTGCAGCAGTTTCTAGCAGCCCGTGGTCCAGGCTGGAGTCCCTTGGCAACACAGGGCCGGAGTCCCCTGGGCGCTTCCAGGAGTGCAGGGCTGGGGCACTGTGGCAGGCACCGTGTCAGCCCCTGGGAGTGTGGGACTGGAGTCAAGCCCCATGGCAGCACAGGACCAGAACCCCTCAGCACTCTGCTGGAGCACGGAGCCAGAGCCCTGCAGCAAACTCAGAGCGCTGCAGCAGCCTGCTGGAGCCCTGCAGCAACCCTGGGGCCAAGGCCGGAGCCTCACAGTAGCCCCTTGAGTGGCAGGGCTGGGGCCGGAGCCCTGCAGCTGCCCCCAGATGCACGGGGCTGGAGCTCCATGGCAGGAGCTGGAGCCTCTGCTGCCCAGGAAGCTGGCAGCACAGCACGTAGGCAAGCAGCCCAGCCAAGTTGGGGTGCAAGAGGGCAAGGCAGGATGCTTGGGAGCCGGTGCCAGGGCACCTTCCCTGGTCCAGCAAATTCTCTTGTTCGGGACCGGTCAGGTCTCAGCAATGCCGGACCAGGGGGGTCCAACCTGTCCTTAGCCTCTCTGCTAGACTGCCAAGAATGGTGACAATCTGAGAGGAGGGATTATGATTTGATCTCAGAGGCATCATTTCAGAAGTAGTCAAAGATGATGAAAGGGATAAAAGTGGTGTGTTTTTTTTTAATTTAGTTTTTAAAAGAAGCTTAATTCACATCCCCTTTTTATTTATAACCTAGGATATTGACTCCCATAAAAGCAGATTAAGGGAGAGCAGATTGATTCTACTAGAGCATATTCATGATGGCGAATGGGAAACTCTGCATTCTGGAAGTAGATTTGAAAGTGCAGATCAATAGCAGGCTGTCAGCACAGCAGGAAGGAGCTTTCTGTTTATTATATGCTATTTGAGATACATTGCACCCTTCAGTTGTAGAAGAAGTAGGTAAATTCTACATTACACCTTAATATTAGTGTACAGGAGCTAAGTTATGTTGACTGAATCTCAGGGAATTTCCATATCATAAAGGTATACAGTGTATAGGCAAATATGTCTGGCCTTTAAATACAGCAATACTGAAAGAAATAAAAACAGAACAATTAGACCATGTTTAAAGGTAACATAAAACAGAGAGGAAGAATGGTTCAGTGATGAGGATGCTAACCTGGGACTTTGGACTCTGGAGTCCTGGATTTGGTTCCTTTGTCTGCCATAGACTACAGGTGAGACCTTGGTCAAATCACAGTATTTCTGTGCCTCATTCTCTATCTGTAAAATTATTGTTCTACCTTATAGCCGTGTTGTAAGAATAAATACATTAAGACTGTGTGATTTTCAGACTCAAGTGATAGGTGTCATATAAGTGACTTGAATAAGTAGTCTTCTAGATTAATAGAAACATGTATAGTGCTCAACTGGAGGTCTTGGCCCGTTGAGGGGGTTGTGTGCAGGTTTCAGAAGATCCAGCAAAATAAACTAGAAAGCAAGGCTGATGTTAGAGTTGCTAGGGCTGAGGGCAGAAAGCCCCAGCTAAAGCTGACGCCCAAACAACTTATCTTTGTGAGGTTCCCTGTGGTGTGGGGCGCTAGACCATTGCTCTGCTTTTTACCCCCTAATACCATGTTGTGGCATTGGTGGGCCACAGAGGTTTTTATACTATGTTGGGGTGGAGCTTCAGAAAGCAAAAGGTTGATACCCTTGCCATAAGTTATACTATGGGGTGGCGAGGAAAGGCCAGGACTGTACAGGAAAGACAACCAACCAGAAGTGTAAGAAAAAGTGTGTGAAGGGAAGATCTTTTTCTTTCACCATTCTTTTTAGATGCTCTTCTTTCTAAAGTCCCACCCTTCTATCTCTTTAGCTTATCAGTTACAGACAGGTCATTTTACCATTTCTGTCACCTCCATGTGGCCTCCAGTTGCCATTATGAGAGGTACTTTGCCCCCAAACAAAAAAATTATCTAGACTGTCCAATGTGATAAGCTTCCATTGAAGCTGGAATCTGAGTCTCCAGCTGCCAGGGATGCCATTAAGAGGTATGGCGATCATAGACTCAGTTGAACAGGCGTTAAATGCTTAAGAATGAGCCTATACAACATTAACCTGGTGTCTGTGTAGTACATGTGTGAAACTCAAAAGAACAATATTGTAAACAATAAATCAGCTGGTATCTTGTGTGTGTTGTTTAGATTAAGGAATAATAAATAATGTAATGTCGTTTTATTTATGGTATGCCTTTGTTTACCCAAAGCAAAATGCAGGACAATGTAGCACTTTAAAGACTAACAAGATGGTTTATTAGATGATGAGCTTTCGTGGGCCAGACCCACTTTCTCAGATCAAATAGTGGAAGAAAATAGTCACAGCCATATATACCAAAGGATACAATTTAAAAAAATGAACACATATGAAAAGGACAAATCACATTTCAGAACAGGAGGGGGATGCAGGGGGGGGGGAAGGAAGGAAGGTAAGTGTCTGTGAATTGATGATATTAGAGGTGGGGGGGGGGGGATGTTTGTGAGCTAATGGTATTAGAGGTGATAATTGGGGAAGCTATCTTGGCAATGGGTAAGATAGTTTGAGCATTTGTTCATTCCTTCCCGGAGAGTGTCGAATTTTAACGTGAATGACAGTTCAGAGGATTCCCTTTCAAGTGCAGATGTAAAAGGTCTTTGTAGCAGAATGCAGGTGGTTAAGTCATTGAGAGAGTGTCCTTTCTGGTTAAAATGGCAAGAAACTGTTTTCTCTTTGTGATCTTGTCTGATATCTGTTTTGTGGGCATTAATCCTTTGGCGAAGTGTCTGAGATGTTTGTCCAATGTACATAGCAGACGGACACTTTCAGCACACGCAGGAATATGTGTTCTTGATCTTATAACTTACTTGGTTAGGTCCAATAATGGTATCAGCAGAATGAATATGTGGACAAAGCTGGCAACGGGGTTTGTTGCAAGGGAAGGTACCAGGGTTGGTATTAGTGTGGTATGTCCAGTGGTTGTTGGTAAGAATCATCTTGAGGTTAGGTGGT